GGGGGTATTGAGTAACTATGACTGGTTATTAAGTACAATCAGTTTTTATTCTTAGATATTATAATAGATTTTCTTGAATGGGTTCATTTTTCAACCACTATCTGAAGAGTTTCTGTTTCATGTTCTAATAAAAATTTTTAGTTTTTCTACTTTCATAGCTAGAATACTTTTTTTTTTTAATAATAAAATACTATCATAGGACCATCTCAAACACATGTGTAGTTTGGGAGAAGTGACACTAGAATAATTTCAAAAACCACTAGTGTTATTTATTTTGGCTTTTAGGCAACAAGACATCTGACTCTGTTTATAATGGATAACACACTCAGTAAGGATGGTTAGCCAAGGAAGTATTAAGAGCAATTTGAAAAGGGCAAAGACCATAATTATTTATCTCAGCTTCTCCTATTAAGGTCACCTAGTAATGATTATTTAACCAACAACTGCATTGATAGTAATATCAATATCCTTTCTTCTTAAACTGCATTTCACACAATTTGTGTTCTGTAAAATATTTCCTAAATATCCAATGGAAAAAAAAAAAAGAAAGAAAACCAGTGTTTCATGTTTTAAGTCAGGAAATGCTGTTTTAAATAGGGTTAAAACTTTTTTTTTTTTAAACAAGACTTTTTCCATAGCCTTTAGTAATGCACACTCATGTGCACTTTGAATCCCCATGATATGATTTCAGTTACAGCATTTCCAGGTTTATTCGACCACAGATCTTCTTTAGAGAGCACCAACGCACATTTCATGCAATATTGGTGGGTGCCACTACTTGGGAAATCCTACATCTATGGTCTCCGCAATGCTGTGTGTGTGCATGGGGCAGAGGGGTTGGTATTAACTGGTTTAATCATGAACAAGGACCCACTGCATGGTATGTTAGTTTCCGGTTGCTACTATACCCAATTAGCAGAAATTATAGAGGCTTGAAACATCACAAATACATCATCTTATAGTTCTGCGTATTAGAAGTCTGATATGGGTCTGAGGTTGTGGCATTGACAAAGCTGTCTTCCCTTCTAAAGGTTTTAGGGAGAATTTGCTCCTTGCCTTTTCCAGTCCTAGAGACTTCCCACATTCCTTGGCTCACTGCTCACTTCCACCATCTTCAACAACAGTGACACTGCATCTCTCTGATCATTCTTCTGTAGTTCTATTTCCCTCTGATCACAGCCAGGGAAATGCTTTGGCTTTTAAAGATTTGTGTGATTAGATTAGGCCCACTTGGACAGTCCAGGATAATCTCTCCATTTCAGCATCAGCAAAGGCTCTTTTTGCCATGTAAGGTAACACATGCACAGATTCTAGGGATTAGGGTTTGGGCGTTTTTGGAGATCATTGCTCTGCCTACCACATACGGGTTGGTAAGAATGACCTGAAAGTTCTGGCCAGTAAACAAGTCCATGGAATGAGACATAAAGTAACTACTGCCATTGTTTGTGTTTTCCCAACTATTCCTTAGGCCTTCACAGTATTAGGGAAATTAAAAAATGTCTGATTAAGAGTGCAGAACACTGAACAGAATATTGAACATGTTTCCAAGCACTGAGAACTTGGCTGTTTCTACAATGTAGAAAAGAGAGCACAAGTGCTCTGGGATTTAAGACACTTCACAAACACAGCCCACCCCTTAACAACAAGGCTGACTATACTGGTTGTGCATTTTTCAGTAAAAGGCATTCTCCTAAATCGGCTTTATTAAAGCTTCCCTCACTATGGAACCATGCACCCATGATTTCCTATGAGGCAGGTACTATAACTGTACCATTTTAAAGGTAAGAAGATGGTTATACTACTTGACATGATCTTACTTTCATCAAACCAGTAAAAAGTACACATTTGACTCTAAAGCCCAAGCTCCTAATCCCACGTGATGCGTCTATCTGTCAATCCAGGTTTTCTGTACTTCTTCCCTCTCCCTATCCCCATTGCAAGGTAAGTTCTTCCCTGTGTCTCTGATGTGTGGTTCTGGGAATGTGTACACATGTGTGTGTACTCAGGTACACGTGTTCAGATCACCAATCACATACGGAGACTTCTGAAACAGAGGGAGGACACGCCATGGTACTAAATGTATGCCTTAGTTTCAAAATCTGGCTAGACCGTCATCTGTGAAACACTGCAAGCTGCTTGAATACCATAAACTTCTGCTGCCTCATTTTGTAAGACAGTGGTTCTCAACCTTCCTAATGCCGCGATGTATTTTCATTGCTACAAAGGAGTCAGGACCCACAGGTTGAGAACCGCTGTTGTAAGAGGTCAAAAATACTATCTGCTTCAGAGGGTCATTGCAGGATAAAAAGAAATGATATACATAAAGAACCAGATAGGTAATATCAACTATAATTTATTTTCTGATTATTATCTATGTTTACTTGTATAAAATACTACTCAACAATCTTGGCTCTCTGAAAGATGCTTACAATCTTCTACTTAAACAGGTACAATTGGTATGACCAGCAGTCATAGGTTCATACCCTGTTGTAAAGGTGTGGTTAATGATTAAAAAAAAAAAAAATCTCTTCTAAAGGGCTGTGCCTGCCTGCAAAACTAGGTCCTGATACTTCTTGAAATTTGCTAATCACATCTGGTTTAACTTTAGACATTTTCTGGGATTTTGCCAGCAGCTACGACATTTTAATGGCTACAATAAACCTCAAAGCCTCATCAAATCTTTGCTGTATGTGTGAAAATTATGTCCTCTTCAATTAAACATTCAATCTCAGCTCACACCAAGGCCTTATGGAAAAGGAGGTGAAACCTAAGTGGAAACGTGAGATGAAACGGACCGCCACCGTCCTGGCCATCTTGCCAGATGGTATTTAGAAGAAAAAGAAATTCATTAGAGAACCCATGGTCTGTATTTTCTTTAAATATTTACTGGGTACCTTTCATGTGTTGAAAACACTGGCATCTCTAAAGATTAGCAGGGCATTTTTGTTTAAATATTCAATGTGTGTGGGGTGAGGGGAGTCATTTCCTCATTTGCCTTTGTGGTACTTCACATCTTTTGGTGATGCCTGGTACAAAGAAGAAAAAAAATGGCTAAGACAGTGTTCATTTTTCTCTCCTAAGGCAGCTTCCACCAGCTTCAGAAGCTTTTGAGGTTTTTTTTTTCTTTTTTAATTGGCTGAGGAAAGTGTCAGTTGAGTACTGAAGGATCAGGAATGATACTTCAGAGGCTCCCTTGTAGGTAAAATGAGGTGGAGCAAAGTGAGAAGCTTTGGGGGAAGCCCCCTCTCTTCTCCATTCATTCTCCAATCCGCTTGCTACTTATCATCAACCTTACAGGGATGTCCAGGGAAGGCGCCCTCTGGGCAGAGAAGGGGAAAGATCAAACAGAGATCAGGTTTCTGCTCAAGACTCTAGCAGAGGTCCGGCCAGGGGTTTTACAAGAGGCCAAGAGAGGAGAAAGGGATGGCCACTGAGGGAGGAGCCGTGGAGTGAACAAGCTCAGGCCTTCCTGGGCTGCTGCTAATCCTGAAGACTGTCCTGGGCCCTGATGCTGCCATCGGAGGGGAGACAGGAAAAAACTGGTAGGTGACCGCTTACTCTGCTTTATTCCAACATGAACCAACGCCCTCGCTCCCACCATCTTAGATAAAGATACAACTGTCAATTCTTAGAAGAGAGAAACAAATGACCGTAAGTTTCCATACTGGATCCCTAAAAGAAGCATCCATTGGCTTGAACTCACTCTTTCGACCACATCAATGGGAGAGAAAACTCCACACGTTCTTTCAAAAATAATATACAAGGTAAAAATATTCACTTGTAACCACTATCCTTTTAAAGCAAGTTTTATGCCCAGAGTAAAAATAAATGGCTCTCCCTGCCACCAGGAGCAGATCTTTCCCACTTTACTCCCATTTCCAAGCTGTTCTCAGCCTAAGACTTAGATTTCTGAGTACTCTTTCACAATAAACATTTTTAAAATGTTTATTTTATGTCTTAGTGTAAAAATATTCCTGGTTGAAGCTCTTCATTTCCTCAAGCTCTCCTTCTGGCACCCCAGGTACCATTTCCACATTAACACGCTCCCTAAATCCTGTGGAGAGCTCTTCAGTGGGAGTTACACAAGCTCCGGGGCAAGTATTTATATTCTTGGACAAGGAGATGTCTCCACAGTGAAAACACAAGACGTGAGCAATGCCAAAGGAAAATTCCTGCCCAATCGAGACATATTTTTGCCTTTTAAAAAAGCCAAAAAGAGGCTCTCAGCATTTTGTTTTCAATAATTAACAATGTAAATTAAACTACAACAGAATGTTTACTGTGGGTTTTACCGTCATCACTAGACATTAACCAAACATACAGGGACATGTGTACATATGAGTGATAGATATACACACCCACACATACACGTATATAAATGTGTGCATGTGTGTGATACATACAGGGTGTCCATAAAGTTCATGTGCAAATGCACGCATACCTACACATGTCGACATCCTGTACGTATATGTGTGTGTGTGCGTGTATGTGTGTGTATAGCAGCAGAGTAAACTATAGTTAAGAGAACGTGTGTGTTCTAATTGGACAGACTTGATTAGAGCTCAGTAAATCTGCCTGGTTGTATGACTATAACTTCTCTAAGCCTCATTTTTCTCATCTGTAAAATGGGGCCAGTGTAGTTCTTGCTTTTTAGGGTTGTTTTAAAAATGATAAGAGATAACAGTAAATGGCTGCTGCTACTATTACAGGATTATATGTTATATATGACCAGTAGATGGTAGAAAATGTAGAAGTCACAGATGTCACTCTAACAAGCAAATGGTCAAAACTAACAGAAGAGAGTTGTACGTAAAGCAGTGCGGTAAACAACATCCGGCCTCTAAACAGTGCACAGAGATGGAAAGTTCACGAGGGCTGCAGTGTTCCATAAGTGAACTCTGCACCACCCCTGCTCCGTGAGCCAGACATCAATAATTCCTTTAAAACATTTTTTAAAGTAATTTCAGCTATTATCATAATAACAGAACAGTTCCTATTACCTTCTAGTTGCCTCTTCAGTTTTCTCAAATCTTTTATGAGGTCTTCAAACTTGACTTGGGAGGCCAAAAAGAAATCTTGTGGTTCAGGCAGGGGGAAAACACTCTTTTCTGTTCCAGCTTCCTAAAAGATAATGGTGAACAGAAGTACATTATATTTCCCAATCGTCACTTCCAGTTGAAATTCAAAAACATCGGGGGAAAAAAAAAAAAAAAGGCCCAAACAGTTTTTTATTGGATGTCTGCATGAGAACCACGGCACTGCTCCTCCACTGTTCCTAAATTTGGACTTGGGACTCTGAAGTGCTTCTGTGTCCTTCACGCTATCACTTTGGTCTTGCTGGCAGTGAGAACGGCTGTGGCATGTGCTAGGTTCTGTCTTGCCTCATGAATCAAAAAGAGAATTGTTAGGTCTGTCCTTATCTTGGACCCTCTGCTTCCATGGAAAAAGGCACAGGGGAACACGTGAAAGTACTTACATGTAAAGTCCCAGTCTGCGCTGCACATGCTAGCAATTAGAGAAGTCAGCTTTGAGGCATGCCAGTGGGTATGAACTGGAAGGTGCTGGATCAGAAAGCAGTGCGGTGGCAACACAGTCACCTTCCCTTCACCTTTACCCACCTTTCTCCACTGCTTACCACTTGTGTGTGTGTGTGTGTGTGTGTGTGTGTGTGTGCGCGCGCGCGCACGATCAGATTCTTTACATATTTGAAAAGCTTTTCCAAACGTTCTTTGGCTTATCATGGGAAACATTCACTGAGGGCATACATGGTTGGGTACAGTTTTGACAAGCTCCACAGTTATGCCTAATTGAGCATCTAAGCTGAGAAGTGTCTTACGGGACAAAAGTGTCTCTCAGGCACAGAGAAACATAAGCTAAGCCTCCAATTTCCTTCCCAGCCTAGCTCGCTTTCTCCCTGAGTTGTTTAATATAAGCTTTGTATCTTGCATATCTCAGACAGTCTTCAGTTATCCCCCTCTCCACACAGGCTCCGCTGCCAGCTTCCCTTCACATTCCATCTTCCCTGCCGCCATTAGGCCCAACTCCAAACTCTACGACTGCTTTACAAGGCACTTTATGATCTGGCCTCCATCGCCAGCCTGACTTCTATCTTCCCCCAACCTCTAACTCCTTCTCCCAGACCTTTGTGAAATAATACAACAGGCCACAATCTCTTGCCTCTAGGCCTTTGTCTGTAAAACCGTCCCTTTCCCACAGTTCCCTAGAGCCTCTTTACGTCTCCTTGTTCATACTCATCCTTCAAGACTCAAAACAAATGCCACTTCCTCAAAGATTCCCCTTAACTTCTGGCACTCTGGTGTTTCTCTTCTTTCTCTCCAAAGAGCCCTGGATGCTTAACCATTATCACAACCTTTGTCACCATTAATTTTAAAATTGCCACATTAGCTTGTATGTCTTCCCCACTAGACTATAAACACCTCAAAGGCAGAAACTATATCTTGTTCTTGGTACAGTAAACAACATCTAGCATAACAATAAACCTAATTTTTGGTTGATGGACACCATTACAGACTGCCTATAAAACACTGTTCTGGGAAGTTTTGTATCTTTAGCAGGAGGCATCTAATTTATCACCATATTTTCTTGTGGTTTCAAGAATCCCTTGGACCCTTCACCTTCCTTTAAGGCATCAGTTTCACTTGAATGCTAAGAGAAGGTGGTTTTCCTCATTTGATCAGAACAAAATGTAATTATTTTTCATCTTCCTACACTTATTTTACGACTTTAACAAACAATGGAAGTACTACCCTAGTCTGAGTTCCAAGATGGAACGACATCTAAGATGCTTACCACAAAGCTCCATGGTAATCTACACTGGAAGCATGTGGGCATAATATCTCTATTTTCCAAATTTTTTTTTATCAGCCTGAGTCCTGGTTTCAATTTTTTTTAAGCTAAAGAAAAGAAAATGCTGCTAAGCCAATCAGGCTGCTAACAGCTCCTGTGAAAGTTCCTCATTTAGTGGTCAAAAGGCATGACTCTAAATGATTTTCATTAAACTTCATAGACCTAGACTTGGGCCAAAAACCAGGCATGAGGAGAAGGAACCTTGGAGCAGGAGTCACCTTTCCTCAGCTAATTGCTCATCACCACTAACCACAAAAATCATCACTTCTGCTCCTAGAGGAAAGGGCTAGTTTCATAAATCACATAATTCTATGCTCCTGTTGAGTGAAATGCATTTTGCACAAGGAAAGCCAGAAAGCACCACACAAATGTGGACTTACTTTTCCTAGACTGGGCTATCTCACTCTTCTCATTGTTAAAATTTTCCTCTTTGAAATGGGCTCCACTGAGTTCAGCTCTTTTCAACAGCAGTCATATTCCACAGGTGAATTTCAGCCTTCCTACACGATGCACTTGACTTGGTCAAGGCAGGCACCAACAGGACATCTGCCTGTGCAAATCTAGAAGTGTCACTTCCCAGGATTGTCCAGGATAATTCTGCCATACTGGTACCCATTGTCAGAATTCAGGACATATAGATAGGCGGCTGCTGCTGATTTATTTCCTGAAGTTCAATACACCTTCTCTACTCCACCAAAAAATAGCCCTTGTCTCCCCATATCTAGTTCTTCATGGAACTTGTTACAATTTTGTGGATATGTACATTATATCAAACACAGCAAATTACTCATCAGACACTACATAATATACATTTTAAAAGACACAGCAATGAAGTATGGACCTCCAATAGTAATGCCAAGATAATAGGTAACTGTTTATAGACACATACAAGGCAGAATAAGGCGTATGATGAGAGAAATTCAATAAAGTGCTCCTAGTCTTCAAAGGCCAGGGCTGAAAATCCTTCCTTTAAAGGTCAAGATGTGAGCAAGGACTTCCGGGAAAAAGGGCCACACAAGATTGGACTAAGTTATTTTTCGTTATAGCTTTTTCGCTTTTACAAAAGTTATACATGTTCATTATATTTAGTAATTGAAAGAAGTAGGAAACCTCTTATGACTAACATTTGGAAATAATAAAACATTTTAATGTATGTATTTCCATGGTTTGTGTGTTTATGTGTACTTATATTTA